ACCCCGCCAGCGATTGTAAGAGCAGAAATACTTGTAAAATTTGCGATGGAAAACACCACACTTCGATATGTGACAGGAAGGAGATACGAGAACCAGGTATGACTAGAAATTTAATTGGCGATTCCAGTGTTATTCACCCCATAGTAGTCATAAACATGGGTGGATATAAATTCAGAGCTCTCTTGGACAGTGGCACTAGCCATTCGTATGTTTCGTCAACTGCGATTGAGTTACTTAAAGCTAAAGTGAAGAGTACGAGTTTGCATCAAATCGCCATGCTTATGGGCGTTGAAACCAGAACGGACAGGAGATTTCTCACTAAACGTGAATGTCACAAAAATCGAAAAAGGGGAACTGTTGACCTTAGACAACCCAAGGTATTCCGACCCCGTAAAACATCACCCTCACCTGAGAGGCGTTAAAATGGATGATTGTGATACAAAGGCTCGCTTACCCGTGCACGTGATTATCAGCGTGAATGACTTTGCCAAGATACGGACAAGTGATCCTTTACGGGTCGGACGTAGAGGAGATCCAGTAGCAGAGCGTACACGTTTCGGGTGGACTATAATGTCTTCCGGAACAGATCTAGGCAACGTGCACCTTGCCGTGAATTCTACGGTGGATCACAACCGACTCTGCACCCTAGATGTCTTAGGACTAGAGGATAAACTATCTAATCACCAGAGCGACGTCCAAGAAGAATTTAAGGAGCAACTGGTTAGGAGTCCAGACGGCCGATACGAAACTGGACTACCCTGGAAAGGGAACTGTCCTGAGTTGCCCAATAATTGTGCGGGCAGTGTGTGCAGAGTGAACACTCTTCTATGGAAATTAAAGAGAACTGATATGCTAGACCAGTGCGACGACATTATTCGGGAACAGTTAGAGGAAGGTGTGGTTGAGAAGGCACCAGCGAAGGTAACAGGCAAGGAATTCTACATGCCCCACCAAGCAGTAATACGCGAGAATGCCAAATCAACCAAGCTACGAGTGGTATATGACGCCTCGGCCCGTGCGTATGACGGTGCGCCTTCTTTGAATGAGTGTTTACACACTGGCCCCCCACTACAGAATGAGCTATGGAATCTTATTGTCCGCAACAGATTCCATCCTATTGCTGTTGGCGGAGATATGCGCAAGGCCTTCCTACAGATACGTGTTAAGGAAGCTGAAC